CAAGACGTGGTGCTGGCTCCGAAACGGTCGTCGACAGTACCGTCGTCTGGCGCCCGATTGATCGCTGACGCACACCTGCACCTCTCGCGCTCGGTTTCTGCAGTGAAAGCGAGCCTGAAAAGAATGTCATCTACCTGACTATCAACGTTTCCGAGCTTGACCCGTCTTACAAGCTCGACATTCAACCGACAAAGATCTCGTTCTCGGGCCACTCGAAGCAGACGGGCGGCACAGGCACCGCCGCAAAGTCGGAACCGACAACCTACTCGTTCGACCTCGACTTGTTTGCAGAGGTCGAAGAAGCCAAGCGCAACTTGACCGGCAAGAGCCTGCAGCTCGTGCTCAGGAAGAAAGAGGCAAAGGAGGACTACTGGCCAAGGTTGACAAAGGAAAAGGTCAAGCTCAACTTTTTGAAGGTGCGTCCGGCTCCATTGAAAGATGATACATGTTTTCCAACGCTGAGACTCTGCCTGCGCACGCCCAGACCGACTTTGACAAGTGGAAGGACCAAGACGAGCAAGAGGATGAGACTGACATGCCCGACTTTGGCGCCGTGAGTTGCACGAGACTAGCATGTCGATGCCCGCGCTGACGACAATGTTTCCAGGGCATGGACGGCGGCATGGGTGGCATGGGTGGCATGGGTGGCATGGGTGGCGGCGGCATGGGCGGCGCTGGCGGCATGGACTTTGCCTCGATGATGGGCGGTGGCGCCGGCGGAGCCGGTGGCATGGTAAGGCGGCCCATCGGAATCACGAGCGATATGCTGACGCCCTTCTCCCCACCGTAGGACTTTGCCAAGATGATGGTGCGTTGTTTCGATGGCATTTGTATTGCCCGTAGGCTGACTCTGCTGGTTCACAGGAGCAAATGAAGGCGAGTGGCGCTTTCCCTGCCGGCGGCGACGATGATGCAGCCGGTGATGATTTCAAGCCGGAAGAAGACGAAGACGACGATGATGGACCGCCACCGCTCGAGGCGGCGTAAGACGACTATTAGATTATCACTTTTGTGTTGCAATTCCAAATGAATCAACAATATCCAGATATGCGTTCGTCTATTGCAGCAAACGTCTAGTCGAGGGCAGCCTGCGTCAAGTGTCAACAAATCGTCTCGCCGTCTGGCCGCGTCAAACTCACTCGAATCTTTTCCAGCTTCTGCCTCAAAGACTTAATTTCGGCGTCGCGCTCCTGTAAATCGTGTTCCAATTGAGCCGTGCGTTGACGCGACTCTGCCAGACTCGACTCGAGCTTTGAAACTGCCTCATTGTCGCTGGCGGCACCGTTTGAAATGACGGCGGCTGCAGCAGCAGCATCAGGAACGGCAGGCTCTTGCGCTTTTGGCTCTTGCGCGGCTGCTGGCGGGGGCGTGGCAGCGGCAGACCTCGACACTGGCGTTGAAGCGACAGGCGTCGGTGCTGCAGGTTGCGCAGGGGTCGCGGCCCTGATCGGTGTCGCAGGCGTGTGCGTTTTCGGCGGCGCACCTTGTTGCTGCTCCAGGGTCTCCATATCGACCTTGTTGGGCTCTGCAGTCTTGCCGTCTAGCCACTCTTGCGCCGTCAGCGCCGGTTTGTCGGACGGGCAAGGCGGGAAAATGTCGTTCTGGAATGCCTCGGACTGCGAATAGCATGATCAGAGGTAAGGAAGGAGAATTGATCATGGCGAGGCTGACCTTGCGAGGTACATAAAAGCTAACGGGCTCGATCGTCGATCCGACAGCCTTGAAAGCCCGCGCAATCTCGTTCGTGTGCGCGCTCCTGGCACGGGGCGGCAGCAAGCACATGCCGCGCTGAGGCTGAGGGCTCGAGTACTCGTTGCTGAAGTGTCCAGAAGTCAGACGTCAAAGCTGCGTTCGTGCGCCGCAAAGACTCACAGGTAGTGCAACTCTTCGCCTTGCCACTCGTAGTAGCGAATATTGCCATCGCTGCGCGCTTAGTGTCAGTACGAGGTTATCTTGACGAGCTCGCAACATACCCTTTGCCTGCGAGGAACAAGACACTGGTAGCGCGAGTCAGCGTGCTGTCGTGAGCCGGGCGACAAAGACCCACTTGTTGCCATCGACCCAGAACGGCATCAAAGTACCCGAGCTCTGATCGATCGTGATTGTCTTAAGCGGTCCGCTCTGGATGTTGGTCGAATCCCACACGTAGACCTGGCGCTCTGACGTGCGCGAGAAACCCGTCGTGACGATCCGGTCAAGCGAGCCCATCCACTGTACTCGCGAGCCTTTGACGCCGGCGTGAGAGTCTGCCACAGACACTGCGTCCACACCCGCGCGGGGATCTAACAGCCTCAGCTTCTTGTCTTTACACGTAGTCCTGGATATCGTTTGCGAGCAAGTCAGCGACGTTTGCGCCCTCGCGTTACGTCTACGCACGCGATCGTTGTACCACAGTAATCCCATGACATGCTCTGTACCATGTCGCCGTGGGCTGCGCTCGTGTACACCGCCTTTTGCGCGGTGACGTCCCAGAGCTTGACATCGTTGGACGCGGACGTGAGCAAGCCGTCAGCGGTCGGATGCCACACGACGTGGCCGACTTTGCGGCCGTGGCCGCTGAGCGTGACCGTAGGCACCAAGTCGTGAACTTCCTTTGAATCGCCACTGAGGGCGTCGCGCAGGATGGCGTCGTCGATGCGAGTGATTGCCACTCGACTGTCTTCGCTGGCTGAGGCAATCAGCGAGTCGTCGAACGGACTCCACGCCGTATCGAGCACAGGGGCCGTGTGAGATCGGCACAGCGGGAAAACGTCGGGCAGCTGGCAGAGTCTTGTCAGTGACGTTCGTGATTTCGAGACCCTACGCGAGAGCACACCTTGCCCGTCACGTCGAGCGGCGTCACGAGGAATGCTCCACCGCCAGAGCTTTGATCTGACGGAGTGAATGATCAGACTCGTGTGCGCTGTGCATGGTCAGTACCAGCTTACAGTTGACGGCGAGGTACTTTGCGCTCGCCGACAGCAAGTTGGTGTCCCATGCCGAGGCTGCAGGGTGCGGGTGCGAGGTTAGCGTGCTTGGGCGAGCATGTGGTTGTGTGTGTGCGCACCCGAGATCTGTACGTATGTATTTGCATCTGTCAGCAGTGAGCTTGACGCGTATGTGGGGGGGCTGAGCTGGGCCGTGTTCGAGGCGGCGCACCTTGATATTGTCATACATCTTTTCCTTCTTGACAGGCTGGCCGTACACATGACGGTAGCTGCTCGGTCGCACGAAGCGTGACATGGTGATGTGTTGCCCTGGCGAGAAGGCCGAGCAGCGCCGCCCGAGCGCTGCACCGGGTTGACCTCCTGCCATGACAAACCTTCGCGTGCGCATCGCAGGCGCGAGTGCGTGCGTGCCACTTTGAGACAGTCCAGCTGTCGCTTAGACTTACGTGAGTACTGGTAGCACGCCAGGGGCGGCGAGCCAGCGCATGGGCCGCCGCAATGACGCCGCGCGTGTTTCGGACGTGGGAGGGACAGTGCATGCTCGGTCAAGCCGCCCCTGATTACTTCAGCTCCTTACACGCCTGTACTGAGCAGGGCTCACGCGGGATGCATGTACTTGGCGCAGTATCACCAGGGATTCGAGCTCGAGCTCACGCTCACCAGTCACACCTGTCTGCGATGGGACAGGGATCCATGTTGCAACGCTTCAGATCATACGGACCGAGATGACCACCGCCACAAGATGCGAGCTGGTCAGGATGATGCTTGGCACAGACTGCAAGTCGCTCGACAAGACGCCTCAGATTAAAGATGTGCGGTGAGAAGAGGATGAGAACGTTTCTGTTTCCGAACAAGCCCAGCACAAACACACTTTCTGGTGCGTGAGGAATGAAGCCCGAGACGTCGACGACGTTTGCGCGTAACCAGTCGAGTCGTTGCTGCTGAGTCGCCGGTACGTATACCCGTCCATCTTTGAACACTGGGTCGCCACTCTTGTGCCACGACCGAATTGCCTAAGGGCCGCCATTCGTTATACAGAAGTGGGTAGGCGCCAGGTGGTCGAGGATCTATCCGGCATTGGTAGCTAGCTGAATCCACCACACCGTTGCATTTAAGCACTTGAGCATGTCGAGCGTCAAGCGAAACATAGAGGTGATGAAAAGGCGTCGAGACGAAAAGTGCCAGGGCGCCTTGAGAAAAGGTCGTGCACGATTGGATGTTCCGAATGACCTTGTTGGAGCTTTTGTGATGCTCGAATGCCAGCGTTCGTGAGACACTGTGGCAGGTCATCGCCGTTTCTGGACAAGTTGACCAGAGCTTGATGTTCGAGCCTTGAGTTGAACGCAGTGAATCTAAATCTTTGCAGACGCTCGAATTGGGGAGTTTGTCAATGAGACGAGATGGCGTGTGCCTGTTCGGCGAGCTAAAAATCAGACTAGGTCCAGCCGAGCAGATCTCCCAGCTGAAAGTTGGCAATGGACTTGTTTGGTTGATATTCTGCAGAAAAGACGTCCGTCTCGTTCGATGCAGTATTTTGGACGAGCTCGCATCTGCTCGCCTGTCGAAGTCTGCTCCAGCAAGTCAAGCCATTTGTACATTCAAATGCTTGTACAGTATCCGCTTCCATACATGCTGAATAGAGAGTAGCATTGAAACTTGATGATGAAATGAGCACCTGATACCGTCTCGTAACGTACCGTGCCCTCTATCGTCACCGACTCTAGTGTATAGATCTAGCAAAACGCATTCCAAGGAATTTGTCGCAAATGACGACACGCAGTCTGATGCGTTCTCGTCCTTAGTCGAGCTGTCTATAGCCACTCGCATGCGGCGCCCATCTCGCGTAGGGAAACAGCTTGAGTGATGGTAGAGAGGCTCCGGAGTTGTGAGAGCACCCTCCAGCCCGTAGCTTTCGCAGCCACCCTGGCATGCATGCAGTGCGCAAGCGCTGCCAAGTTATGCACCAAACCTGAGTTACGACAAAAAAAAAAGATGCACATCCGAAGTGGACAGCCTATTGTCGGGACCTAAAGCCGACCAGAGAATGATCCGCGACCAAAAAAGAACAATGGATGCCCCCGGGGTGAATCGAACACCCGATCTTGTCATGGCGTATCTTGCAATACGAGTGACACGCTGTACCACTAAGCCACGGGGGCGTCGAAGCACAAGGGTACTTGGACCAATATGTACTACAATTTGCGGGAAAACGGCGGATTTCCGCTCGAATTGAATCCGCGATCCGAACCAATCTCGGACGATTCTCTATTACGCCTGGCTCGATCAATAGCGAGATACAATATCAGCGGTATCACCACTTACCCCGTTCCGCCAGGTCTCGCGCCGCCGTCTGCTACACGCCGCTCCAGCCGGCACTCCGTTGCCCCGGCGCGCTGCCGCTTACTACACAAGCATGCGCCGCAGTCCACACAAGCATGCGCCGAGCCTCACACAAAGTTCGCCCTCGGGAGAGTGCGTACGCCCCTCCTCACGGAAAGACTAATAATACAAGGGCAATGAGAAGGTTCTCGCCTGACCTCACCGTGCTCCGTCGTTTCGAAGGACGGCCTGTTCATGACATCGAACCATTCAAGCTGATGACTCAGGTGTTATGCGAACACACACACAAAACGTGATGACTCCAAAGTGGCGAAGGGATCTTGAAGTTGGAGACGACGAGGACCTGTGGCTACAGTGGTATGCGACCCTCAAACGCTTTCGCAGACGCATTCCCGATGCGGTCGACACGGCACACTGGCTGGCCACGCACACTCTCCGAGGTGGTAAGCACATTGGTGGACGTCAGTAGGCGACCAATGCGCCTAACAACGCAAGTATTTATTTGGAAAGCTGTGCCTCGTTCCATCCTGTAGATGACCAAATGATCAATTGCAATGCAGAATTTGTTTAGAAAAAAAGTCGATCGAGCTGGCAATATGATTGCTACCGTGCGAATAGCAACCCTTTCCCTTTCCTGGATGCCTCTGCCTCGGTATCGATCTCACTGAAGACCAAACCTGGCGACTCGGGCGCGGAGCTCGTGATGCATTCTGCAGGGTTCGCTCCGCTGTTCGTCTTTTTGGTCGCGCTCAGCGAGCGCTACCGGCGTGAGCGATTCTTGGGCTCTCTGGATGGGACCGTAGGGCTTCGGCGCGCACTTTGAAGAGATTCTGAATTTTTGTGTATCAGAGGCGGCAGAATCAGCATATCAGCGCAAGGCGTTTTGTCAGCTGCAGTGCCAATCCGCCATGTGCTCGCAGCCTGGGGTGATTCTTGCCGGGGTACTTCCAATTTTTCGGTTTGCGGTTGACGTTCTCCGCGTATCTCTGCACGCACGAAACTGGGTCGCACATCAGCTGTATTGACCAGGAATGGAGCAGAAGTAATTCCCGTCCGAGTTTTGCGAGGCAAGCAGTATGCGCGGTTTGATACACAAGAACTGCTACTGCTTGTCAGTGCTGATCACTGTATGTAGCTCCATTGAAAAACCTCACGTGACCTAATTTTCCGCCTCTTGGCTGCGCATGCTTGTCTCCCGAACGCGTTCTCCCCAACTATTTTGAGCCATGTCACTGTACCCAGCCATCAAGGCAAGCTCGAGCCAGTACACAGGCTGTCTGTAGCTGACCGCTGCTTGCGCGGACGCAGCCGTTCAAGACAGAGATGCTGCCCGTCTCTGACGTGCACACCATCTCGGTTAAGCAGTACGGCAGGCAACAGGGCTCTGGACCGAGTGTCGTCTTCGTGCACGGTGGACCGGTGCGTACGCATCAAGGTCATGCGTGGCGCGCCACACCACTGACCACGCGGTCCGACGGACAGGGCGGAGGATGCGACGACAAGGATGCGCAACGATTCAATCCGGACGTGTATCGCATCGTACTGATTGACCAGCGCGGCTCGGGAGACTCGACGCCTGCAAGCTGTCTCGAGGACAACACGACGCAGCACTTGATCTCGGACATGGAGAAAGTCCGCAGCCACCTCGGCATCGACAAGTGGCACGTGTTTGGCGGCAGCTGGGGCGAGCACACGCGCTACGCTACGCAATGCATCAGTATCGCTAACGCGGCTTTGCAGGGTCAACTTTGTCGCTCGCCTACGCCCAAGCGCATCCGGAGCCGGTCATTAGCTTGACACTGCGTGGCATTTTCACGCTGAGGAGAGAAGAGCTCGAATTTTTTTATCAGGGTCCAGGCACAAATTTTCTGTTCCCGGACTGCAAGTTCACGACGACGTCTGGCGATACGGACGCTTACTGACGCCACTTTGCAGACTGGGAGGATTACCTCGCACCCATTCCCGAAGCAGAGCGGAGCGACATGATCTCGGCATACTATAAACGCTTGACAGGCAGTGACGAGAAAGCTCGTGCCGAAGCTGGTCGCGCTTGGTCCATGTGGGAGATGGCCACATCACGCCTGCACGTTGACCCGGCCTACATCAAGAAAGCAGACGCCCCTGGTTTTGCAGATGCTTTCGCACGCATCGAGAGTCACTACTTTGTCAATGCCGGTTTTATGCCCGAGGGCGAGCTGCTCAGAAAGGAAAACATCGACAAGATCAGACACGTGAGCCTTCACTCGTGCGATAGTAAAGCTTGGCTTGACGAGTGCTGGCTTTCCAGATCCCCACGACTATAGTCCAAGGCCGATACGATGTCGTGTGCCCATTCAAGACGGCCTGGGACCTGCACAAGGCGTTCCCAGAAGCAGACTTTGTCGTGGTGCCCGACGCAGGCCACTCTGCGATAGAGGCAGGCACCGAAAAGGCCCTTGTGCAGGCAACGGACAAGTACGCCAAGCTGTAACCGCACTAGCCCACTCGGGCTGGTGGATTACCGCAAACGGATACACCAATTTGTTGTCGCTTCTGATATTGCAAAGAAGACAATCTTTTCTATTGGATATTTGCCACAAATGCCTGTTAGAGCCGCGTCAGAAATTGGCGTAAACGAGTTGGAAGAGCGCTCGACTGACCCTTTCAACGCCAGCGACAGCCTCTTTAAACTTTTGAACCTGAGCCTGGCAGTCGAGCGGCGATTGCTTATTATTTCTGCAAAGAAAAATGTTTCTCAGATGGCGTCCAACGGCTTGTAAGCAAACGCGCTAAACGAACCTGAGGCACTCGACGAGCGTTTGCCTGCCGCTGTCGACGGCCTTCCACGGCTCGCTCTCGAGCTGCTTTGAGCTTTCTTGCCTCAGTTTGACCGTTCTCGCCTCGAGCTCTTCCAAGTCCTTTAGCAGGCTCGCCGAGTGACTGAGCCCGGCGACATCACCAGCCTTGCCCTTTTCGCGGTCGAGGTTCTCCTTCTCGAGCGCGCGCTCGATTTCCTGCCTTACTTGCGCCTCTTGCTCCCTCAATCGCTTGAGCTCGCTCTGGATGCGCGACTGGATGTGCTGGTCGAGCGTCTGCTGGCGCGATGACGGCACCGATCCGTCAGGCGTGGGCCCGCTCGCCGTTTGCAAGTGGTTGATCAGAGTGTCAGAGAACTATCAGAGGGCATTTGAGGTGTCAGCGAGACAGAGTAATGTCGTTCGTCTGCAGTGCGGCGCTGCTCGCTCGCTCGCACCCTGCAACAGGCAACTGACCTGCACCGGACTGCTCTTCTGAGCAAAGAATGTCGTCTCGTCGCCAGACTGCTCGACGTCTGCCTTTGAGCCTGACGCGCCCATCGTCGCTGCGTGTGAGCCGAGCGAAACGCTCACGCGCGGAGCGAGTGGCTTTCGTTTGTTCACTCTCAGGCCCCGCTACAATGAACTCGCTCACGCGGCAACTTTCACGCGTCGCAATCAGAGCCAGGCCCTCGACTGCGACTCTAAACCCGTGCTCGTCTACGCTTGCCGGCCCGTCGACGACAAAGTCGCGGCCTCGCGTTCCCGCTGCTGCGCCCTGCACTGCAGCCACATGCAGTCGCACATACGCCACAGAATCCTCTCACTTGGGCAACCTGTCACCAGCGCCCGGGTCGACTCACAAGGTCAGTTGCGGCGCTGTTACCGGGCTTTTTCATTTCGGCTCTGCAGGTCGCAGCAGCGCCAGAAGCAATAACAGAATCACGCCTGACATGCCCAATATTCACAAACACAGCGCAAACGTATCGGCCGAGGTATCGGCTCAGGGCGTGGCGGCACGTCCGGCCGGGGACACAAAGGATCGGGTGCGCGCTCAGGCAATGGCAAACCAAAGCTGCACTTTGCAGGCGGGCAGACGCCTTTAACGCGAGCGTTTCCGAAACGAGGCTTCAACAACCCGTGAGCCCGGAGCCTGTGCGAGTGACTGGGGGCAGCGGCTCTGACATTGTGGTGGCGTGCTTGCAGTCTCGGCGATCGCATGACGCCGCTCAATCTGGACAAACTGCAGCATTGGATCGATCAAGGGTTGATTGATCCCACAGAACCCATCACGATGCGAGAGTTGTACCAAACTCGATGCGTTCATGGCATCAAAGATGGCGTCAAGCTGCTCGGCGACGTGAGTTCATCATCGCCGTTATAGCGTTTGCGGGCACTGATTCGTCGACAGGGCGCCGAGCACTGGAGGACACCCAATGTCCATATCACGGTCTCGCGCGCGTCTCAATCCGCCATTCGAGCTATCGAAGCGCTCAACGGTACACTCGTAGCCAGGTACGAGAACAGATTGACTTTAGTGAGTCGCTCTGCCCTTTTGATTAGCCCGAGAACAAGTCCACTGATGCGAGTCGGCCAACCAGCGAGCATTGACGCGACCAGAGTCGATCTGGCGAAAGGGTTTGCCGCTGCCCAATAAGGCTGACCCTGTCTCGAGACGAGATTTGCTGTTTTACTCAAACGCTCAACGCAATCGCGGGTACCTCGGATTGCAAAAATTGGCAGAGACGGACGCAGAAGTGCAGCGAGCCGCTACCGAGGCTCTAGCGGCGGAATCGGCAGAGCAGGCGAACGAGCCGCAGGTGTAGACACACATACTGCTTGCATTACGAGTTCGTCACGTACAAGTCGGATTCCACTGAAGGGCAGGAGAGTGTCACTTGGCGGCGAGCTCTCGTGCCTTTTGTGCCATGTGCTTAGACTCACACGTAAGAAAGAACGCGGCCAAGCTCTCCGAAGTGCTCTTGCCGATTGCGCGGTTTGCCAATGTCCCGTCGACTCTGTGCATCTTCTGCAGGTCATACTTG